ACCCCCCAGGGGAGATGGTCACGCCGCAATCCCTTCTCCTCCATTCTCCTCTCGGGCACTTGGGCACGCCCCCCACCACGCCCGGCATGAGTTTTAAGCCACCGGGTCCGGGACACGAACCACAGTCAACTATGTGGAAGTCCAGCGACATAGCCATTATGCTAACTGCTGGTTCCCAAAATTAAATAATTCTTAAGCAAGTCTATTAATAGCTAATAAGGTTTAATATGTTTTTATGCACTTTCAAAGAAAATTTTCAACTCTAATGGAAAACCAAGGGAACCAGCAGTTAGCATAATGGCTATGTCACTGGACTCCCACGCAGTTGACCGCGGTTCGTGTACCGGACCCGGTGGCTTAAAACTCACGCCGGGCGCGTGTGCGTGCATGCCCAAGATCCCGAGAGGAGAATGGAGGAGAAGGGATTGTGGCGTGACCATCCCCTCTGGGGGGGTGATTTCTCGCTTTCTGTCTCTCTCTGTCTGTCTGGTGAACGCATGCGCCCTATAGCGAAAAACCTCTCAAAAAAAAAAAAAAGAAAGAAAACCAAGAAATATTTAACATCTTCAAAGTACTTCCCTTCCTGACATAAGATTTACACCTCTTTTGAAAATATGTAGGCTAAGATATTCCTTTCTTTTTCTCATAATTAATCTGCTTTTCCTTTAAGAATGTCCCCTGCCTCCCATGATGACGTATTAAAGGATTATGGCTCCTGAAAGAAACGCACCTGCTCATACATGGGGACTCTCATAGATTTGCCAGGCTCTTTGAAGATGAGGATAGAATCAATATCTCGATAAAGACCAGGGCTATTTTTACTTAAAGTACGACAATTACAGTCTTCCCAATATGGAAAAATAATATTTTTCTTTTTGGTTTTTTGAAAAGTTGAAGAAGTCATCTGAGTTCATCTAGGCCCTGCCAAGCAGAAGTGAACAGAGGAGACTTCTGGGTAAGGCCTGGACAGAGACTGTGTTTTCCTTCCCAAACATCTGATCCTTCCAAATCCCAAGCAAAATTCCCACCCAATATCATCTTATAAAATTATCTTCAAACTTATCTTAAATTGCTCCAGAGAGCTAGATGATGAGTTGACAATCTATAGCTTTCATAAATCTCGTTTTTGGCATTTCCATACTAATTTTCAGAACAGATTAGTGTCCCCTCCATTCCTACCACACAGCAATAAGCTTGAGACAGCTCCTAATGGTCTAATAATCAGATCACTGAATCAAAGGAAAGAGACACATGAAAAAGACTATTTCTGATTAGTGTTGAGCTGATAAGTTTCTGTATTTTACAAAGATGTTTCATTGTCAAAAACTCCGAAAATTCCTGACATGCCTGCCTCAGAGCTAAAAGCATCTCTTGCACTGTTGGTCAGAAAAGTCTGAAGCTTTCTACCAGCTCCAGCCACTTCAAGAAGGCATTGCTCTTGACTGACATTTTCCAGATCAGTCCTCATGAAGTAGAAAGTGTTTCGTCATCTGAAGATGTGTTCAAGTTGACTATTAAGCTCTTCTCTGTCACTCCCTGGCGCTCCACTCCCATCTCCTTGACTTGTTTCCTTTTGCTCTGCTGTCGTCCACTGCTCTCTCTATCCCCACGCCTAGTCTCCAGAAAAAGCAGAGCTGGAGGGGGCGAGGCTCACGTCTTACAAAGCTAATGAGATCTGAGGACTCAACAGTAGTGACGTGGAAAGGTCAAGAGAAGGGCAGTGGCTGGCATTCAATCTCACGGTCCCTTTTAGGGGAGCACAACCACGTTTATAATGTTCTCATCTAATATGCTTCAATCTGCTCAATCCCTTTCTTAAAAACCTCTGAGATGAATGACCAGCATCCAATCTCCCCGACAATGTAATTTAGGGCAACAGCTGCTAAATTTCACAGCAAAATAGAGCCTTGATGTGATAAGTTGAATATGATAACCAGGTTAAGTTTCCAAGGACGTTTTCCCAGGAAGAACAAAATGCAAATGACCAGACATCAAACAGGAGTCTACACGTGCACACATGTGAGTCTACACGTGCCCATGAGCAGAGGGTGGCAGACCCTAGGGATACTGACTAGAGTTCTGTGGTCAGTGCCACAGCACACACGCCTGGCTTCTCCGTCGCTGAGTTAAACTTATTTTCCAACCTCCTCCCTTTAGAAGTGGCGAGCAAAATTGGCAAGCATCAACAGGTCCACTGTCCGAAAATGGACAGCAGCCATGTCCACAGCCACCAGGGCAGCCAGCCTCTACCCAGGAGCCAAGAGACCAACTGTGACTCCAGGCTGCATGATCTGTCCCGCTGTCCCGCTGCACGTGAGAGCTGACCCGGCCGGCCGCACAGCCCGCGGTGCCCAGAGCTCAGCTGCAGGGGCTTGGCCGGTGTCCCAGAGCCAACCTCCTCTTACCTCCACTCGCCCGCTCTTCTCGTTGTTCCTGCCCAGGGAGCGGCTCCCATGGCCGGCAGTGTCCCGTGCTGGGATTACGGAAATCTGCTGGAGGGGCATGCTGGCGGGGCAGCGGGCGGCCAAGCCCTGGCTGGACGCCTGATCTCTTCACTCGCCCTGGGGAGCCCACCGGGACCACTGCTCATGTCCTCGCCTGCCAGGCCCAGGTCTAAACAAAGAGGGGAGAGAGTGTTTGAGACACCGTGCAGGAGCCAGGGTCCTCTGACCAAAATGTCAAACACATGGGGCAAGAGCCAGTGATGCAGGGAGCGCTGTGTCTGCAGAGGACGGGGTCCTCAAGTCCTAACTGCACTGCTTGTCACCGAGCACCCCGCCCCTGAGAGCACTGTGGGAGACCACTCGATTCCTACTAATAACTGTCATGGAAACCGAGGACCGGGCTTGCAGGCCCTTATTGGCAGCCGCTTCCTTGAAGGCAGCGGTTCCCCAGGAGTCCTGCTGACGAGGTAAATAAGCAGAAGGCAGAGAAGCTTAGTGCCCTATTTGGAGCCAAATCTCTTCCTTGAAAAGCGGAGAGCCAGCCGTGCCCTTCCTGCTCTGCAGTAATCCGCTTAGGTCAGAGGCTCTGCCTGAACTGAGTGTCGGACACAGGGAGGGGAGTGCCACCACCCATGTCTCTCAGCTTCTCTTCTCGGAGAGAGTTAACTGCTCTCTGTGTCTCCTTTGCCACAACCTCAGCGACAGGAGCGGGGAGACAGCTGTCACTCTCCCTGCTCACTCAGCCTGAGCGCGGCTCCCTTGGGCGCCCTGAAACAGACATTCCAATCTGCGTTCGCTTCTCCATGCTCTTCCTGGAGGACACAGACTGCTGTGGGTGGACTCCACTGTCCTCTCGACAGTTATGCAATTTCAAGAAAATAAATGGCTCATCAGAATGCCTACCCTTTACATAAAAAAATTAAAATCGTTCAATCTCTCAGTGAAGAGGATTCTTTGGAATTCATGAACTCGGTTAAACCCACCCTTCCTCTGTGACCCCTTCCTCTTTGTCAGGGTCTGTGGGGTTCTGTCTTTAATGACACCATTTCCCTTCCACGTTTGGGACATACATTTCCCGTTTTCTGGACACTGGGGAGAGGTCAGTCTTCCATGTTTGTTCAGCCCACACGAAGCACGTTCATAAAACCTTGTGTTTGCACATCCTCAGGCACTGTTGGATAAGTTAGGATCTGTCCCTATCTGTCCCTAATCACACGGAAGATTTTTTTTAAGAGGTGTTTGCCTTAGGGTGCATGAGACAGAGACAGAGACAGTGAGAGGGAGAGTGAGAAATCACCCCCCAGGGGGATGGCCATGCCACAATCCCTTCTCCTCCATTCTCTTCTCAGAAGCTTGGGCACGTGTGCACACGTGCCCAGCATGAGTTCCGAGCCACCGGGTCTGGAACTCAAACCGTGGTCACTCACATGGAGTCCAGGGGCATAACCATTACACCACCTGCTGACCCCGACATGAGACTTTTCAAAAACTGTGCGCATCAGGTCCCCACCACATTCTGAACCTAAATCCACAGCAATGTGTCCCAGGTGTCCTACTGTCATGTTCAGAGTAAGACTCAGGAGGCTGCATCAGCCCCACGCCTCCTTGTGTGTGCTGCTTGCATGCACCTGTCTGCGGTCCTGGCTGGCTGAGGCTGGGGGTGGATCACAGAGAGAAGATTCTGTCAGGGCTGCCTATATTTCTTTCACTGTCTCATGGAAGAAATAACAATAAATTTTTTTAAAATTGCTATCGTGCAAAGGTCACACCTGTGACCTATAGGGGTATGTGTACATGTATGTGTGTGGTGGGGGCAGTGTTTTCTTACTTGAAAAATAATCACTGAGGGACAGCAGGTGGCATGGAGGTTAAGGCACTGGATCCCTCATGGTCAGCTGCTCATTTCGAGTCTCGGACCCAGCGGCTCAAAAATCACACCAGGAGCATATGCTCGTGTGCCCAAAATACCCAGAGGAGACTGGAGGAACAACCCCTGGGGAGTGATTTCTCACTTTCTCTCTCTCTCTTTTTCTTTCTGATGAGTGAAGTACCCTATAGCAAAATTAAAAAAGAAAAAAAAAAGTTAATTCCACTATCTACAATAGAAGGGCTGCCTTAATTAAGGGAAAGTTGGAAATGGAAGTCTATAATTCTAATAGTGTGTGACAAATACTAAAATGGAAATTGAGAACCTCTTTAGAAAAATAAAATTGTCAGTGTTTACATCCATAAAAAGCCAAGGCAGCTTTTCAGATAAATTTAGACTTTGGTACTTTTGCCTAAAATATTCATTAAAATGATAGGAAAGGAGCCTTTTAGCTTGTAATAACTAAATGGCTGTCCTAATCCTTTATCTCATTATGCATGTGAGGTTAGCCTTTGTTTACTGTGAGATTTTTCAAAAATCAGATTTGAATTTTTCGTTAATTTGATTTATGTGGTTGAGTTATTTCAATTAGATTTTATTTCATTCAAAAATATAAATTGAATTTTGGGAAAGAACATTTATTTCTTATTTTACACATTGAAAAAGAAGGGGTTCCTTATGTCTTTTTAAATGTTTTAGAAATAATGTTTACAAACCTACTAACCAAGATACGTAATAAATATTTACTCAGTGTTGTATGAGGGGTCTTTAAGAATTTCATGGAAAATGCATATTAGGTTCATGAATTTCAACATTTCTTTACACCAAAATAAACTCATACTTTAATTCCATTTTCCACAAACTTTTTGAAGTTCCCCTGTGTTAGGAACGGCCGCAAACTGAGCTTTTAAACATTTCCAGTCATGTCGGGGACCGTGTTTGAATGCTGTGGGTTCTAGCCCTCTCCTGTCTTGGAACGCTGGGAGGCACATTGACTCCAGATGGGCATCTGGCCAGCCCCCTTCTCCGAGTGGCTCCCACGTGCTCTGCCGTCTAGAAGGCTGGGCTCCAGGCTGACTCACTCAACTAACAACCCAAAGGGAAGGAGGCTGTGAGGGGGCATTTCCCCCTTGCAAGCACAGTCCTGTGTGGAAATTCAACCCTGCGGAGCTCGGATCGCACAATGCCTGCGGCAACCGACGAGCAGGTCCTGGACACACGCCAGCAGGAGAGCCTGGCATGCTGGTGCCCTTTGGCTCGTCTGTCTGCAGGGACACAATCACAAGACACAATCCAGGTCTCCTAATGGGGTTTTCATGGAAAATGGGGATTATAATTATTTTTCAAACCACTCTGGCATATTTGCTCTGCACTTGGATACTGTTCCACACACATGTCTGGATTACATTTGTTTTGCTTCCGCATTCTGGGTTCCAACTCTCTGTCTCTGGGAATGGAATCTGCATCCCTGCCTCTGGCCCCTAACTTGGCCATCTGCAGTTGTGACACTGCTACCAAGACCTCGGATTTCCCCTGGGAGATTCCAATTTGGCGCTACTCCTTGCTGTCTCTAGGCCCAAGTTGTCTCTAGTTCAAAAGGAAAACAAAACAAAATATGCATTTGGTCCTCTACCATAAGACCCACCTTGGATCTTTGCAGCTTTAAAGGAAAAAATATTAGCTTCTAAGGGGTTTGATTGTAACTAAGCAAGAAAGGAACCCAGCACTGGGCAGAGACAAGGAACCACATAGGCATTTGCTAGTGCACTAAATAGACTCATCATTCAGTTCAACAAATACTTATTTTCTGATCCATGCTAAGGCTAAGAATTGAGAGGCAGGAAGTAAGGTATATAATTACATGGCCAATCTCTGCCGCCAAGGAGTTTCCGCGTGGTTAGGGAGATCTGACAGGTAGGTCGGATTGAGAAATACACAGCATATTGCAACGAAGAGTTGAAAGACACATTGAATACTGAACACTGGTGTCAAAGAAGCATTCAGAACCAAGAAATCTTAATAGGTCTAAATATAGTCAATGTCCTACATAGGAGTTGGGCCTGGGTTTACTTTGGTAAATTAAGAGACTGAGACATTTCAAGACATAAAGATGAGTGTGAGATTGTTCAGGACGCTATTGAAACAAGAAAGAAAATTTGGTTGAAGTTATCAATTGGTGTAGGCCATGTACGGTCATTAGGATATGACACTCACTGAGTCTGGGGAGGAGAGGGGGAAGAAACACAGCTTATGACCTCAAAGAAAGGAAATCCTTGCAAAGTCATATTGAAATTACAAATACACTAAAAAAAAAAAAAAAGCAGAGAAGGAATAAGAATGAGAACTCCAAGTGATCTCGGAAAATAGAAATGAGGCACTCTGGGTTGGGAAAAGGACACTTCGTAGCAAATTCCCAGAGAAGGGAGACCTGGTCTGAGTGGGTTTTCTATGTGCCACCACACTGGCCATTTAACGGTCACTGTTGGTCATTGACAGAAGATCACGAGCAAGCAATCACCGCACAAAGACTTCATGATACGTTGTAAAGGAGAAGGGAATTGGATTTAAAAGCTACTTTTACTAGGGAATGCTGAAGCATATATTTATATAGAAGAGTTAGGGAGCAACTCGAACTAGCAGAACAAGCTCGACAGGAACAATCAGAGGGGAAAATAACACAGAGAAGTAATTAAGATTTCTGATTCTGGGGCCAACACTGTAGCCGAGTGGTTTAGGGACCCAGGTTCCCCATGGTCCACAGTGGTTTGTCAGACACACTGGAACAAAAACACACATGCCCAGAATCTCGACAGGATGAAGACATGGAACAAAAGAAACTGTGGCAGGGCCACACCATTAGATGGTGATTTCTCTCTCCCTCTGTCTGTCTCTCTGGCAAGCACATGCATCCTCTGGCAATTAAAACAAACAAAAAATCTGGATTTGGGCTTATAAAAGTGTCTGCAATATAATGAAGTGTTCCTAAAACAGTTTTTTTTTTCCCCTGGATTTTGCCTGCTTATTGAAATCCAGTTGTGATTATATTTGGTATGGGTGATACCTCTTGTAATTAGAAGCATATCCTTTTCATGTGGATATTTTGTCTCTGAAGACCTTTCAGAAGCAGTGCTGAAGACAGAAGAAGCACCCGGTGACCTCCGAGGGTCTCGATTCCCGCCTCCGAGAGGCGTCGGTGCTGGTCTGGGATACATCTGCTTTCAAAGGCTGACGTAGGTAACAGCAGCCCAGCACTTGTTTCAGCTGTCTTGAGAACTGAGAGCTAGCACCAGTCACACAAAACG